TGAGGGAACCGCTATTATATCCTCTCAATTATGATCGGTCATTTCAAGTTATGATCGATCAGGATCGTATTTCGCTCGAGCGAGAGTAGTGTCGCTCAAGCGAAATACAACCCGAGAATGCGAATTGCAGTAGTTGGAGTTTCGCTCGAGCGAGAATATTGTCGCTCAAGCGAAATACATTTTAGATAGCGGTTCCACAGAACCGCTCTTAAAAGTGCACTTCTAATAGCAGTTAACCATTAACCGCTATCTTTATTATACTTTAGATAGCGGCTAAGGTGGAACCGCTATCATATCATCTCAATTATGTTTTGCAAAATGCCTCTACAAATGTTTTTAACAATTAAAAACAAAGTATTTTGACAAAAGCTTTCTCAAATGCCTCTACAAAGTATTTTTAACAATTATATTGAGTTTAATTCTACAAATTAAAAGATTAAATAATAATAAATTTAATTCTTTAAATTCAAGTAGCTAGAAACTAAAATTATAGTTTCTCTGTTTTAAATATTTAAAAATAAAAATCAAAACTAGTATTATCTTAAATTTATTAAAAGTGTAATTAAATATCTATTTTCTTATTTTTATTTGTTTCAAACTTCTCAATTCTACATTTTTGTAAGTTCTATCATTATATTATCATCTTCATCTCCTCCCATGTTTCTACTTTATCTTTACAATAGTCAATATTCTTAACTAATTTATAGTTTTAATTATATTTTTTTAGTATATATTTCAGAAATTAATCAATTCTAATCTATTATTTGAAAAAATAATCAATTCTAATCAATAATTTAGAAAACTAATCGATTATAATTAATTATTTGAAAAAATTATCAAATATGATCGATCATTTCGAAAATATAATCGATCAGAATCAACTATCGCTCGAGCGAGATAGACTCGCTCAAGCGAAATACAACCCGAGAGTACTAATTTTGTGCAGGGGGCGTTTCGCTCGAGCGAGAATGTTGTCGCTCAAGCGAGATGACGTTTAGATAGCGGTTACACAGGAACCGCTCTTAAAATATGACTTAGATAGCGGTTAACCCTTGAACCGCTATTATATGGTTTCAATTATGATCGGTCACAATGCATTTATGACCGATCATAACTATTTTAATCGATTAAATCTCGTTTCAATCGATTAAAACAATTTCTGCACAACGTTTTAATCGATTAAAACTTATTTTTATCAGCTTAAAATAACTTGAAAAGTTTTAGGAGAAAGTTTTGCAAGTATTTCAATCGATTGAATCGCGAAACAATCGATTAAATCAACTTAGAAGATTTTTTGTAAAGTGTTTTAATTGATATAAACGTTGTCGTATCAGCTTAAAACAAATCGTTAAAGAATCAAGAACGTATTAGTGGATTAAAAGAAGTTTTAACAGATTAAAACTGCATTTTTAACAGATTAAAAGAATCTTTTAACAGATTAATTAAACCAACAGCTTTTGAAAATCTTCTATAAAAACAAGTTTGGCTTGAACTTTTTTAACATACATTGAATATATCATCTTTAAAAAATAAATAAATTTATATATATATATATATATATTTTTTTTGCATTTTAATTTTCAAATATTAATTTTTTATGAAATTAATTTTAATTAAAAAAATTAAAGTGATATATATATATATATATATATATATATATATATATATCCAACTATTAAATTATTCAAGATATTAATATAAATTTAAAATATCAATTCAATAATGAAAATAATTTTAATTTTTTATAAATACATTGAAATACATTTTTATTAACATACAAGTAATATATATATATATATATATATATATATATATATAAAGAGACTAAATTAATAATTAATTTAATTATTAATTTAGTGACCGATTCGAGTGATCGAATCTGAGTGACCGATTCTGATGACTGGATTCAGTGACCGAATCGATGACCGATTCTATGACTAATTTAATAATCAATTTTAATTTTTTTATTCACATGCTAAATAAAAAAATATAAAGATTTATATCTTTATATTACTAAATTATTTAATAAGTTAGTAAACAATTTTTTTAAAATATTTATAATGTTATTAAAAATGTTATCAATTATTTTAAATTATTAAGTAAATTTATATTTAAAATATTTTAAATAAAATATTTATATAAATGAAAAATAGTTATCAGTGTAAAAATTATTTTTTTAGTGACTCGAAATTTTAGTCACTAAATCGAGTTACTAAATATAAAAAAAATTAATAATTACATAAATTAAATATAGATTAATTAAAAAAATAAATTAAATAATAAAGTGACTCGAAATAGTAACCGATTTTATGTGACCGAAAATTCGGTTACTATTTCTGATTATTAGACTAAAAAATAATAATTTGGTTACTGATTCGGTCACTGATAGTAACTAAATTTTTCGGTCACTGATTTCGGTTACTATTTGACATTTTTCTAGTAGTGCTTTGACAGTTGGTCCGAGAGCGAAAAAAAAAACGACGTATACAGGAGTTTTTCCACCGTGCGAGTCTCCTTCACCGCCGTCAACACGTTTTTCAATCCTCCAACGTTGATAGAGAAAAAATTGGAGGGATCGGGAAGCCAGGGTTCGACGAGGGCGGCGAGGTGGAAGACGATGGTGCAGGAGGAGTTTGGGGGTTTTACCCTCAAATTCGAAACTAGGTTTAAAATTTGGGAATTTACCCCAAATTTAAATTTAGGGTTTATAAAAATTGGAGATTATTCTCCACTTAGGGTTCTTAATTAGCCAGAATCTGAATTTTGTTAAATGTAATTTCTAAAGACAAACATAATTAAGTATGGGTTGCTCTGATATCAATTGTTAGGTTAAACTGTAATTGAATATGATATTCATTCTAATGATCAAACATATATCTATAATCCCATATTGTAAACATGTTATAAACTAAATGCGAAAGCGTACCTGAATTGGCCATAATGACGATATTCTTTGTAGAGCACTTTTGATTTGATCTTAAGGTCTTCCACCTGAAGAGTACATGTATTTCCCTCTTGATTTTCTTTCTTGATGGGATAGAAAGAAAGGAACGAGACTGTAACTTCGTTCTGTCTGTGTGCTCTCAGAAGGGGACCATGACCCTTTAAATAACCAAAATTAGGTTAATTACTTAAGTTTTAGTATTTTCAATTTGGCCCCTCATCAAATTAGAAATTACTCTATGGTCTCTACACAATCATATTTTCATGACATATGCCTTTAGTCAAAACTTTAATTTATTCAGATCACTTTATTATTTGGCATAATAAATAATGATCCTAACATATTTAAATATGTATCATATATATACATGACCCAAAATTTGTCAACATAAATTAGATATTTCTATTTATATTTTAAGTTTGGAGGGATATTTCGCTTATTAAAAGAATTAATGTTTCTTTTATCTATTTTTTATTCATTGAAAGGTTTCGAACTCAAATATTAAATATCTACAATAACTTATCCACGTGACCTCCTTAATTATTATTTTTATCTATTTATCTAACTCTTTCAATTCCTTCCCTTACACGCTTATAAAGGAATATTTTACAGTTTACAAAATATATTTACGATTAATTTTGCGTTAAATGTAACTCTCCCAAATTTATTGCCATGAACAGTTTTTTTTTTTTTTTCAAATATATATTTTTTAAAGTATTGAACTTGTGAGTTCCTTCTCTATACTTAAAACAATAATTGTAACTCTCTTCCTTGGTGTACTATATACCTAACCTACTTGTCCCCATGGCATAAATAGATAATATAGATTTATACAGGTTAAGTTATATTTTTAAATTCTCAGAATATTACGATTATTCAGGATTTCCAATTTCAAAAAGAAAATTATTTGATTTTCAAAAGAAAAACATTTGTTCCCATGTCGGGTTTTATGAGTGTTTATCTATAATTAAAAGTTATTAATAATATGTGGAGGGACGATACATAAATCAAATATATATGTATTGAGAAAAATGAAGGAAAAATAATTAATAGAGGAAGTAGATTAGAAAATCTAAAAAATTAAAATTGTAATTTAGGCACACGTGTGGTGAATTTTTGGTTTCCTTAAAAATTTGCAAGACATTGACAATGTTATAAAACATATATATTTCATCTTCTGGTTTTCTGTGCAAGCCAAGTAGAACATTAACTTCCTTTTTTTATCATTGCTTTTATTTTTTGGGAGAACGAAAGGTTAAGGTAGATTACAAAAACGGTTATATATAAAGGTAGTTAGTGAGGTATAGAGAGATTACATAATAAACGTCCAAAACACAGCCTTTTGGAGTGATTGTTATGTTGTAGGCCCCTTCAATTCATAGCGGTGGAGTTCTCAATCCACCTAATAATGTTTCTTCTATCTTCCAACAACTAACACCAAGATAAGATATTATACCAGAATTTTAAATTATTTAAACCTCTATATATATATTTATTTATATAACTTGCCTATTCTCAGATTTCATACTAATAGTTGCTTCATGATTCTATCTCTATCTATCACCGATTTCATTATGTGTGTGTGTGAGAGAGAGAGAGAGTGAGAGAGAGACTTAACACAAAGGGGTGTTTGAGTTATATACATGCATTCGTGGTTCAACGAGAGAGTAAAGGATCATATCATGTACCATCGATCCACAACTACTTGAATTAATTCCTACGCTTCAAATATTCAAAGTAGAAATAGAATTAATAAGTAACGATCATAAAAACAAAAGAAAACTAAAACTACAAGGCTGAACTCGAATCTGTAAAGCATGATCAGAAATTTAAATTTTGGTACGCATGGAGAAGAAGCAATCCATCATCTATGAATGTCAATGGATTTTCGTAAGAGACTATAAAAATATTGGTCACCAACCACGTTATTCATTTCATATGAGAAAAACGAAAACAAGAGAAAAGGAAACAAAACTAACTAACAGTAGTGCTTAATTATTCAAAGTATATAGTAATATTAAGTAATATATACCATTGGCTCTTGTGAAGAAAAGAACTAGCAAAGGGGTTCCTCAGATGATGGTGTTGTTAGAGGGGAAGGTTTAGCGCGAAGCAGAAAGACAGAAGCCAGATCGTGAGGCACTTGAAAGAAGCCTTGAGAAGGAAAACTGGTTGTTCTTCTGGACACAGACACAGACACTCGTGGTTTCTTGGGAGGTGGTGGACAAACCAACGTTGGAGGTTGTGAAGTGGGTGTGTGGCACTCTTGCTCCTCCTTCGACCGTGTCTCAACTACCTCTGTGTGCTGGCTGAAGGTTCTAACATTAGGAACGGTTCGTATGGGCATGATTGGTCGAAACTCTTCAAGGATTTCGAGGCCCATGTGTTCGCCGCAAAGGGAGAAGAGTTTGGGAAATTGAGTGTTATGATGGTTGCAAATTTATGTAATTATTATGGTTGGTTTGCGAGTGGGAGAATATTTCTTTGTTTGTTTGTTTGACGCGAGGCGTGGAGAGAGAAATAGAGAGGGTGATGATGGGAGGTGCTTAAAGAGAGACAGATATGTGAGAGTGAAGAGAGAAAGTGAATAAGGTGGGGGTCACAAAGACCAATAATGTCCTCTCTACTACTCTTACTACAATCAATGTTTGTGGTGGATATTTCATTTTATTATGTAACCACTACTTTAAAAGATAAGGTTTTTAAAATTGTGACAAAGATTGTGAAAATAATGCTTTTAAATTTTTTATGATCATATTATACTATTGTTTTCACTCTATGTTGATGACTATTAATTTTCAGCAAAGGATGATGTCGCTACTGTTGTGTTTGTAGCGTGTGTAGGTGTGTGAAAGTGAGTGTTACAAAGTAAAAACAACATCCTATAGAATCTGCATGCAGATCTTGCAGAGGTAATAACACAGCACAACCTTCATCTGATTCTGATGTCTGGTGACATGACATGGTTGCTCCTCCAAACTCTCTTCTCTTCGTATCGCCTCACACCTCATGATGCCATTTGCTTTTGCTTCCACCTTCAATCAACCTTTTTTCTTAACCTGTTGTCACCTTTCAAATCTTTGTTTTTTTGTCTACTTATATATTCTAGGGTTATAATTATATATATGCATAATATCAATATTTTGTTTTGTTCTCAAATTATATATTTCTTAAATTTAGACAAGATAAATGTCAAACAGTGTTTCAATTTAAAATTTATGTTATTATTTGATTAAAAATCTATTTGTTGAGTGTATCGGATTGTTTTTTTATATTGAATATTGTAAATGTCATATCATTGTTGTGGTATGTAAAGAGTGTCAAAACTGATGGAGATTTTGCTGAATATTTTATGAGAAAGAATGACATTTTAGCTAAAGTAATACAATATATTAGTTTTATATAGGAGAATTTCAGTTTAGTTAAGTATTTAATTCGGTTTATGAATTCAGAACACATTTTATTATTTATTGAAGTTGAGAACTTAAATAGTTTATTTGATTTTTATATTGTTTTCTATTTTGAATGTGTGATTTTTCTTATTTTTCTATTAAACTTAATATATGATAAAAAATTATATAGTAGTTTGAATTGATTGTTATATTATATATTGAATTTAGATATTACAATTGAATCTCATTTTATAATTTAAAATTTAATAAAATGAATAATTAAAAACATTATTAGTTTTCATATTAAATCTTAATTTATCCAATTAGGAAATTTTTCGAAATTATATATTTATATACATTAGTCTCACGAGCTTAATCTCCTATTAAAATTTGATAAATTTGGTATCAAGATTTTCTTTACTAACAAAGAAAATTTCGACTTTAATTTTGGCAAAAACTGATCAGGTATATTTCAGCAACCTAGAATCCGATGACTCTTGAAGAAAGACGAAGTTGGTTCGAACTTTGACGACATGGGTGGAGCAATACAATCGTAGAAGCAATCTTCGTCATGTCATAGAGTTTTCATGTAAGGGGAGAAAATGACTCTTATCTTCTCACAAATTCAAATCACTCATTTTCAAATTATAAAAATCTTTTGAACCAATACAATGAACAAAAAAATAACGAAGAACAATATTTAATAATTTATTTTAGCCAATGAAATACCATTTTTTGTGTGATGGTGACAATTGATATAACATTTTGAAGTAACGTGTTTATGTTTAAATCTTTTTCTATAGTAGAATTTAACATAAAAAACAAAAAATCATTCAAGACAGAAACATCGTATTTTTTTTTCAATTCGAAAACGATAATAAATTTAGGATAAGTTTTTCACATAATTTTTTACAGAATAAAAAATATACTTAAAACCACATTAATTAATATTTTAACATAATTACAAATAAATGAATGGACAGATATATATATATATATATATATATATATATATATATATATATATATATATATATATATATATATATATAGTGTGTTACTCACCTCACCCTCCATCTTTCTCCTTTAAATGTCTCCATCGTCCAAGTCACAACTAATTTAAATTTGTCAGTGAAGCAACCTACATCGTGGGAAATTAATAGTGAAATTTAACATTGTAATAGATTTTATTTGAGAGGATAAAAAAGAAGAAGCACTTGACTAAGTTAAATAAAATTAATATTAATTAATACTAAAATATGAAGATAGTTATAATTATATATTCAAATAATTTTCTATATTAATTAAACTATTTTTAATGGTATAAAGATGTCTCATGCAAAATAATATTTTTAAGCGCTATGTAAAAACATGTTTAAGTTTATATATGACATTTTTTTCAATTTTTACCTTCAATACTATGATGAAAGTCTTTCTCCATCATCTCATTTTCATACTGTTTTTTCAATAAACTTATTCTTCTAATAATTATTATATATTTTTAAACCGAAATTATTTATAATAAAACAAAACTTGCTAAACAAAACTTATAATGAACCAGAACAAGTATTTATATATATACTCGGTAAAAAAATTATCAACACGCCTTATTTTATATCTATTAACTAGTTCAACAACTAATTTCTTTTTTTAACTTCTGATCAAATAAGCTAATTTAACAACATTTAACTAAAATTTCGATTTTTGGTTTCAAGTAGTTATCATTTTTTTTTCTTTAGCCAAGGAGTATTCTATTTTTTTTCTAATTAAATCAAACTCTATTAATAAATTATCTTAATAATAATATCACTTAAGGAGAAATTACATTTTTTAAAATTTAATTAAAAAAGTATATATTAATTTTTTATGCTTATAGTATAATAAACATCTTTTCATTAAGAAAAAAAAACTTCTATTTTTAAAAACACTAACTAACACTTTCCAATTTAATTCCCTCCTACCAAATGAGACACTAACCTGCTAGAGGCTATAGGCCTTATCCAGAGATAGCCATAAACTTAGTTTAAGCATTTCATGCTTCTACTTTAGGATAGTGATTTGTTTTCACTTCTTTCCAATTAAATATGACCATAACCCTTACTCTAGGATACTGATTTCTTTACCCCACTTTCCAATATGTTCATCATGTGATTCATGGTGTAGCCCCGGATCATCCCTGGTAACTAGCTAGGTTCTCTTCATTAATTGTTTCTAAATATACCTACTCGGCCACTCCAAATTAAACCAAATCAAGTTTCAAACCAAACTCAATTATATTAATTAATCTATCATTATATAACAATACTGAAAACAAATTTTATTCATATGATCCTTGTCAAACCGCTGCATATATAAAATGTGTCAGATTATAATTGCTGTGTATCTCTCACAACACAACGAAATGAGAAAATCTTTATCTGCATATAAAATCTACATTTTACAGCACTACATACACCTCACTGAATTATGAAAGCCTGCTATTCACTGGACAAGAATCTCTCAATTAAACGTTCAGGCCACCATATATAATATATATATTGCATGACCTGTAATGTTCAAAGTAACGTTTAGTTAGTCATCAATTCCTTATTTTCCTTTGAAAACTTGGTCCTTTCATGCATGCATGTAACATGCCAAATGAGAGGAAAAGAGAAAATAATCAATTAATTGCTTGCTGTTAGACTATAGAGTATATATAGTGCTACCCATTATAATCTAAATGACAGAAGCTCTGTTTTGGATCTCCTAATCATAGACCGTATTAAGGACCAAAGGGTGCCTGATGCATATGATTATTTTGTCCCCTTAAGGAGCATAGTTTTCTGGGTTGTTAAATCTTATATATTTGTCTTAAACACAACGACAAATATTTGAGTAATGAGAACCTATATATAGCAGAATGTCAACCTTTGGTGAAGGCATAATAAGATGTTGCTTGCTTATTTTGGAAGAAAACGGAATCAGAAAGTGAATGTGACCAGCTTTGGCTTACACATGTTTTTGGAAAATGTTGTCAAAGGGGAGAGAATATATAGTAAAGTTCGCCCTATCAAATTTCAATTTTCAACTTAATCAATCATCTACCAAATGAATTTATTTTGACCAACTACAGAAAGATTAAAATTACACAGTTCTCCATGGTTAAAGAAATTTAAAACTTAAAAAAAAAAAAACTTTTTTTGCTTTTTGTCTCTACTTTTACACAGATCTGATCAATGGAATGAAATAAAAGAAAATATGATCCTCAGATATATGAAGAAAAAGTCCAAAAGGAGAAGTTTATAATTGATTATTAATTATTAACGGGTAGAGGTAGTCAACATAAGGCATTGATGCTGCCTTCATTTTTCTTGTGAAATTACAAAAAGCTCAAAAGCAGACCTTCTTGTTTTTGACTCGTTTTAATTCTCACGTGGACACCACAATTTAAAATTCTGCAGTAGCTATCAATCACCACGACAGTGCATGCACAGTACATGTAAATTCATGTAACTCTTTTGGGTAAAACATGTTAATTCAACACATTAGAAGGTGTAAATCCAAAAGTGGGATATGTGGTGGCTGGTTTGAAGTCCATGTCATGCGTCACGGATAAGCATCCTATGTGCAAAAGAATATACAGGGTCTATGGGTAGGCCACACATCGTGGTCTAAGTAACTCATTATCAGAGACGTGAGCCTCTAATCAACAAGATAGATGAGGAATTGGTGATTTTGAAATGGATCATAATTTACAAGAGGAAGAAGTCTAACCAACAAGGTATCCTATGAAGTTTGTCATCATGTGCTATTAACATTAAGGTGCTTCTATTTGCCTACATAGTATATATATTCTTGTGTTTTGTTTGTCTTGTCTTTCAAACTCATCACATGCATTCACACTAAGAGCTCTTCTAATTTAATAAATGACATTGATTTTTGTGGGCCATCTTCTTCCCATATAAACCTCACATGCTTGCACCCTGTTTCTGTACGAACATCTATTTATTTTCATATTTCAACACGAATCAATATGTTAGATTGTTAGTTGTCATTCTTAACGACCATATTAACCCCTCAAAAAAAACTATTTATTGAAAATAGTTATAATTCTATTGAGAATGAAATACAATGTTATAACCAGTTATTATTTGCTAGCTTGATTCTCCATCTGCCTGACTACTATGCTCTATCCATTTGAGGAAGCATGGTGGTATTTGCTTCTGCATACACATATGAAGATGGTTTTCCTTGATTATTGATCAATGTGTCTTAATTCATCTAAATGTTCTGACGCAAGTTGTTTAGCCAAATATTCTGCATGGCCATTTTTGGCTAAACAAGGAGTTTAGAGATTCATATGCTTCATTAACCTAGTTGAATAACCCATGGCATCATGCAGGGGGGTTCAACAGTGTTGAAATCATTTACTCCTTGCCGCCTGCACTGGTGTTTATAGTTGCAACAACTACTCGGGTAGATAAGGAAAAATACAGTCTCTCAAGTATTAATATCATACTTAAAGTTTTAAAGGCTTGAACCGATTATCATACAACCTCGTTGACATGCTTGTGTTGTTGTTACTCTTAATTACCTCTGCCAAATTCAGTCTGATATATTTACCAGAACATGGCATGCTTGTTAATGCTTGCATTGGATACTCTTACCCTGAGTTTTGAAAATATGTATGTGGTTTAGTTGCTTTATAATTGTTATAATCAAAGTCTTTAATTAATACAGTTTAAGACTCATATTAGAACATTCAATGTGCACATTTTCTGATTGATTGGTTACCAATGTGCCTTGCTTGCATGTTTTCATGATTCTGTGAGTTATGAGTACCATTGCATCTTCTTGATAATTGAGGGCTGATTACATCAAAATTTTGTAACTTGTCAAATTTAAATTTAAGGATGATTTAATATATTAATTTATATATTTATAAAGAAATCCAAGTATCGACACACTTGTTCAGTTTTCTATATAATTTGCCACTGCATAATATACATTACAGTATAATAAATTTTAAACGTATTTGATTCACTTTGATAACAAAATATTTGAAAAAGAAAATATAATATTATTGAAAAAAATAAAAGATAATTTCAATTTAAGATAATCAAAACTTCTAAAGAATTTACTCATAATACAACAACAAAAATTGATATACGGTTCAGTGTAGTCATTTAGATTATCACATTTCAACGATAAATTAATTAATTGTTAGAAAGAACTTTTAGTAACTGCATGCAGTCACCGCTGTTTAATGAGATAAATTACTTTTTTAGGACAAATTAGAATTTAATCAGTTTTAAATAATAAAAATCGATTATTACTTTCTCAATGTTATTTCTCAATTTTATTTTATTTTCCGGTATATTTGATCATATATAATAATTCATCATTTTCATCTAAAATACTTTATTTTCATGTCTACATAAAAATTACTATCTTGTAAAGAAACTATCAATAACTATAATTTAATTTATTTATTATAAATATAAGTTAAGTTTATATATTTATATAAATTCATTTATGTATTAAATAGATTTATTTAACATAAATTTATTATATGAAAAAATTTTCATGACTGTACACCACTAATCTTTTTCAATGGTTAAACTTCTCAGATATCATTACTTGGGTACATATAAGTGGCATTTTTTTCATGCAATGCATAAATGTTACTTTTATATAACTAAATTTTACAAACAAGTTATAAATTTTAATATATATATATATATATATATATATATATATATATATATATATATATATATAATACATTTTTAAACATATAAATATTATTTCATATTTATTATAAACAAGTTATATTATGATAGCAGAGTTAACTATTGATAATTTTGTTTTAGTAATAGTAAAATTCAAAGCGTGTAAGATTAAATTAAGGTACTCAAAGAGAACGGTGATAACTCTTGAAAACGATCTCATTAAAATACTCTTGGTAAAGAATAGTTTCTAGAAACACAACTATTCAATATATAAGTGCGTATATATTTGTCTAAAGACTAAGTCTTTTAGTCCAATTAGTCTGGGCCAGGGAAAAGAGCCCATCAACAAATTCCCGAACAATGGAAGTAGCCATGGGCTTTGATCCATTTTCTTTTAGAAAAAAGTTACAAACACGCAATCACAATTGTCGATTTCAGTTTTGCAATTGAAACTATTCACTATGCACAATTAATAATGAAACGATATTCAATCACATGTTTTAAGGTATAGTAAGTTTATTTATTTTTGCAAGAATTATAATTTCTTATTATAGTTCACAGTTTAATTTTTTTACATAAAAAGTTAAACTCGTAAATTGTTCATTCACTATAATATTTACATTATCAATTCATGGTATATAAAAAAAAATGTTCAAGTAGTTATTGTAATGTTAAGCTCTCGCAAAAGCAAGATTATGGAACCCCTCATTTCATTTTAAATTCACATTAAACATTAGTCTATGGTTCAATAACTTGAATATGGTCTAATCGTTTTTGTGTATTGATTTAGTACTAAAATAGCATACATTTATTACCTGCGACGTAGGTTTGGAATTTAACCTAGGTAGTTTCAAAACGTGGTTATACTATTATAAATAAACTTTTTATTAATGATATTACTTTCTACATTTTAGATGTGTTATATATGCGCATATAAGATTAAGTAATATGGAAATTTTATACTTTTTATATTAATTTCATGGCTGATCGATATATAAAATATAAAATGTTACTTTTAAATTTGTTGTATTTATAATTATTTGTGGCTACAACAAATGTAAAAAGCTTGTGTTTAAAAGCATTGCATGACAACTATATACTTCTCTATTGTACAATAGATTCTAACATGAACAACATAAATTAACTCAAATAAATGAGATTGATAATAGCATAAACGCAGGGAGAAGAATAAAAGGAAAAAAGAGTTAACTTGGAAGAAATTGAGTTGATACTATATCAAGCAAAGTTAAAATAAGAAAAACCAATTATTAGTTAAATTTATCACATTTCTCTCCCATTTTCCAATAATGCTCTCTTTCTCACTTTGCTGATAACAACATTCTATGAACCAATATCATCATTAATGGCAAGCATAGATCATGATGCCTTGAATGAATTAACCTCATTATTTCAAATATTGAAAGTCTTAGTCTATGAAAACAGTGTCCTGCTGGTTGGATGAGTTCAAGTGTTTCACTCTTAAAGTCTTTACCTCTATCAAAACATAACACATGTCATTCACAAAACCAGGTAAGAAAATGAAAAAAAAAAAATCTTGAAACTTTTAGTATTATTAAAATATTTATTCATCCGGTGAATATTTTAACATTGACTCAACAATATGTATGTAACATTTTAGAAAAATCATAAATTTGTATATATGTAATTTTATAATCCATATTTTCATATTTGTTTTAAGTATATGTGTATGTTGCGCGCTAAAAGTAAATTGATCCAACGAAATATTAATTGGTTTTGATTTTTTTAAACTATAAACATTATCTATCAATTAGTATTTTTTTATTTAATTTAATGGTTGGATAATAAAAAAAAAACCATGTGCATAGAGTTATTGAGAAAAATTGCTTTATTAAGAGAGTAGAAAACTAAAATTAAAGAGAGCGATATTTACGAAAATAAAAAACACGTTTTAGTCTTGAAATTAGTGGTAGATGCATAAGTTATGCGTGCACAATAGGTTATGTAAATTGGAAGCAAATTGATCCTAATTCCAAGTTTTTAAAGTAAGAGAGGGACCACAAGACTTGTTATGTCTGTGAAAGTTTTGAAGATTTCAAACTTTTGAGAAATCGTAATTCACTTCAATAGTTGACTTCCGCCCATATATAAATAGCAGTCAAAGACAAAATGAACCCTAAGTAAAGAATTCCTTTTCGAATTTAACATTTTCAACTTTCAACGTTAAAAAAAATATATATATTATCAAATAATAAAGACTCTAATAAATATTAAAATATTTTAAAAATTATTATGTGTAATATATTTAGTGACTAGACTACAATATATAATTAAATTGTTAATACTTTCTTTTATTGTTAAATTTTAGTATTTATTTTATTAATAAAATATTCATCAATAATTGTTAAATTTGATTAAAATATCTTGACATGCTCGAAAGCACGAGAAGGGTTGATTTTATGCAGAGATTGGAATCAACTGGCACGGGACCCACTCGCACCACACTCTCCATTGACAAGTTACAGAGATTCTCCATTTCGCACTTCGCCTTTGACTTTGTCTTCATCCCCATCCCTTCTTTTCAACCCAAGAATCGAATCTATACTTTTCTTTCAACTTGGATTTCATTATATCACACTCCCCAACTATATAATGACTCTAATATTTAAATCCAACCAAGATTAAAATATCAATTTTTTACAAATATTAAGAATAACAATGATTTATTGAGTGTTTATTAATTAAATTCAAAAAATAAAAGTAAGTATATTTCATAATTTTGGTAAATTTACACAAAAGTGCTTATCCTCTAGTAGAGGACTCTTATGGTCCACAAAGGTCACAACCAACAAAGCAAAAGTTGACTTTGCTTCTATTCTTTACTTTCCCTTGCTTGCTAGAACTTCCCTTCCTTTTTCTCCATCGTAACAACACACCGTTACAACTTCCTCGGTTAATTTCAAACGGCGGTTATCACTCATCACTGTCGGTCTCATAGTTTCCCGATCTCCTCGTCGCTTAAACAGCCTGAGCGCTGAAAGCCATGGCAGCGCCCTCGGAGGTTTCCGGCAGACGCGGTTGCGGATGACGGTGCTCTCCCTCGTAGGTAACGATTAGCATGTTGGGGTCATCTTGGGCTCGCTCCACGTGCTTCCTCGCTGGACACCCTCGCACGCTACTGCACTTGTAGTACCCTCTGCCATCACCAAAAAAAGAAAATAGTAATTAATCTCTGACGAATGTTACAAAAAAAATAATACTTCTACCATTCAAGGGTTCCAAAGTTGAAAGGCGTGGAGATCAATGTTTGACTTTGACGGTTTCAATACGACAGAAGGGTAAGTGTAGAAATAGGAAGAAAAATTACCGTGGGTAGGGTGATCCTTTGATGGGTTTTTGACCGTACTTTCTCCACGAGTACTCGTCCGCTGGGATATCGGCAATCTTCGAACTTATCGCCGGCACTCGAATCATTCGTCTCAGACGAGATTTCCTATTTAAAAACCAAAAAAAAAATGTTAAATTTTCTTCTTTTGTTTGAAATTTATTGAAATGGGTGTGAAATTAATTATACCTTCTCTTGGAGCAATGGCAGTGGACCGAGGATGAGGCTTTGCCGGCTGAGAGGGTGGCGTCGTGACACCTCTTTCTGTGTGATGCGGAGAGAGGGGGCTTCCCGGCGGCGATGATGGCGGGGCCGATCTTGCCGTCGGAGACGCTGCCATCGGCGGTGATGGAGGACATGAAGGAGGAGGTAGTGGTCGACATAGGAGGGGATATGGTAAAGGTGGTTTCTTTGGTCTTGGAATATTGAGAAACCGACAAATCTGTGGAAGAGGGGTTAGGATTGGGATTTGACTTAACCTTAGGGTTGGCAAAATCTAGAGTAAGTTTTTGAGGCTGAGGTTGTGGTGGAGAAGGAAGAGAAGGGGGAGGAGAAGGAAGAGAAACGGAGGAAGAAGGATGAGAAGGTGCGCGGCGAAAGCGAGCGTGACCAGTGCGATTCAACAAGTTGATGACTTGTTTGAACTTGGAGACAGTGAAGTCGGTGATTTCCGTGCAGTCAAGGTGATTGAGATTAAGACGGTGGTGGTGTGTTGAAGAAGACGAAGAAGCAGAAGAAGAAGAAGGGATCTGAGAAGAAAGGACACGAATGAGATGCTCCATACTCTTCAATCCAGCGGAAGCTGCTTCTTCTATGGCTATTTGTTCTTCCATCCTCATCTTGGCAAGACCTGCGAGATCTAACGCCATACAACGTTAGAGAGAAACGTTGGTGTGGGTTTGGTTTGGATGGGAGAGAGTGGAGGGGAAAGGGGATGGTTATAAAAGAGAGGGTGGATGAGAAAGTCAACCAAGTTTCATCAATGGAAGCGTGGATATTGGTTGGACTTTGCTTTTGCATGCAAATTGAAGTAATGGGCAGAATAATGTTGTTTAAAAATCACTTTTTTATTCAACCGATACCATTATTATTAATACAAAAAGGCGCGCCGCGACAAAACACAATGTTTACTTACTGTAAAGCTCCAACGGAGGACTTCGTGGTGGGTCCCACCAATTCTTGGTACGAACCCCCAGGGAAATTGCCAAACCAACTCAACAAATCTTGACCATATAAATTTTAAATTTCAATGGAAAAAAATAAAAATAAAAATCACCGCCAAACAAACAACACTCTTGGGTATCTTGGAGTTAATCCAAACCAAACCATATTTTATAACGCGTTCAATGTCTTCAAGTATTTTCCCAAACCCCAAACCAACGAGGTCAACGGAATTGCATGTACTGTCTGTACTAACTAGTTCCCCACTTTCCTTAAACCGATCAACTACGGTTTTCTTTTTCGTTATTTTAAGTGTCATATTTTTTTATAATTATTTTATTAAATCAAAAATTGTTGTTAACAATCTTAAAGATCAGTTCATTTGAAGTGGTTAGTGTAGTAAAATAACCATGAACAAAACATTTTTCTTATTTGATGAAACAAATAAACATTACTTTTTTCTTTTTTCTCTTACAATCAAACATAGAATAAGAGATAAATACAGAGTATGTTTTATTTTAATATTGACACAAAGTTTTAAAAACAATACATAAATTATACTCACAACTTTTACGGTATGGGAAAGATGAAACAATGGGTGGGGTTGAAAAAAGTTTTTTTTTTTCTTTTTTTTGGTGTTTTGATAATTACTTTTTTGGCCAGCATACAATTAGTTTATGTGAAGGCCAATTTATTTTTGTACGTGTATGTAGAATCTTGTCATTTTCAAGCACATTAATGAATTAACTATACGGTATTAATATTGAAAACAACTTAGATGTTTATTAACAAGTTCATTTTTATTAATATGACAAATTTGTGATGAGTTTTGACTTTGGTATCCTGCTTAGCACACCGAAACCGAAAGGAAATGGAAGCAAATATTTGGTTATTTAAGCACTTGAATAAATCAAAATTTCCTGAATTTGGCTTTTCAAGTTTAAGGAAAACCAAGATTGCTCCTCAAAAGTGAAGAGGTTATTTTTGTAGTTGACTTGCATAGACCTGACCATTAATTAGTTACCGTTTATGTACACCACCGAGTGCATTCCAGTAATAAAATATAGTATAAAATTGTATTGATCTCCTCGGAAGTTTCTCCCTTTACCATTTCAATTTTGTCCTTTTGTTAATGGTTGACCATCTACCTATGGCGATCGCAACTAAATGGAACTTTAAATTTGAATTTTAACGTGGATTCCCAATACGATGAGAAAAGTAATGCATATAGTTTCAATAAAGAAGAAATAAAGTAACAAAGATTACTCAACTTGATTCCTTGTATTAGGTCAATGCCTACTTTGGTCAGCCACAACACCGAGGAATATAAACATTATCATGGTGTTTACCCTAAAAAATTCATGTTCGAATCACTTTGTCACTCTAATTCAACGCATATGGGAATAAAATATTCTTGACAGTTCTAAAATATGTAAATTAAGCCCTTAGATAGAAAGTAAGACGCATCTGATTTGATTTGATTTGATTTGATAGGAATTTATTCTATGATAATATTTCTTTTCTATGCTAATAATTAATATGCTTTTCATGCGCACATGTACACTATTTCCATTTTATTAAAGAAAACCTTAATAATTGAGAGATGGGAGATGGCATCTAACTTTTGCTTTTTGGTCAACAAGATGGCATCTAACAAGCCAGAGAGTGTGTGTATGTGCGTGGGTTGCTGGTGAGAACGAACCCCAACGTTCACAACTTCATTAATCATAACCAAACTTTGGTTGACATTTACGATCCTTGTTTTAATATAAACAACAATATTGTGTTCAACGTTTTTCTTGCAACCGTGGAGAAAACTACTGGTTCTGCTTTCCTCAATTCATGGGTTAGTTGACATGACCATCATTTAATGGCTTCATGGTACGGTGGTTGACCTACAATACAAGGTTTCAAATAAATATGTTTATTGGGAGAGTCTACTTTAAAATATAATACTATATTTTAAGGAATCACATTCTTAAAAAAACCATGTTTAAATACACTATTTCCTTTAATATATTTAATTGATATTTAATAATTTAATTTATTTAGTAGATTGCAAGTCACATAAATATTGGAAAATTAAACATGTTTTGTATTTCTTAAAATTAATAATGGTTTAACAAAACTTATTTTAAACATGTTATCTTTTAGGCTCGACTTTCCTAAAGTTAATTAATTATTCTATAATTGAAAGAAAAAACAAAAACAAGAGAAAATTATTATAATGCCCAAATATAATTTATAGTTCAACTCAAATATCCACATCTGGGAGAGTATTCATTATATAGATTCACATTTACATTTAGGTTAGAAGAAAAAAGAAAAAGAAAAAAGAAGACCACGTGTTCACGATAGTTGAAGACACAGTTTTTAGGGATGCAAAACGGGTAAGTTTGTTCCGTTTTAACCGGTCAAAAGCGGGTGAAGCGAGCTGACTCGTTATAGTTATGAGAGGTTGTAGATATTAGTCTGTCTCATTAAGGAGCGGGCTGTCGGACTGTTTCGCCATAATTTAGAAAAAAATAATTTATTTTTTAAAATCAAAATTTTCAATAAATTTAATAATAAAATTATTATTTGTTTGTCAATAATTCAATATATATTATTTCAATTTAATAATATAAATTAATACATTATTTTTAAGAAATTATAATTTAGAACAATAATAGAATTTACATAATTATTTCAATTTAATAATATAAATCAATACATTATTCTAATAAATTATAATTTAGAACAATAATAAAATTTACATAATAATAAATAATAACAAATATATATATATATATATATATATAAATAAAGTTAAAACTTACACTACAAGAAAATCATATATTTTCGATCGATTTTTACCGACGGATTTGTAGCCATCAAAAAATGAGTCATTGCCGATAGAAATTACTGACGGATATAGAATTTGGTCTTACCGACGGATATATCCGTCGATAAATTAACAATTAATTACCGACCGATATATCGTCAGTAAATTAACAATTATTTACCGACTGATATTTCCGTCAAGTAAATTTATCGGTAAATTAACAATTAATATTGTATAATAATTACTTAATATATTCTAATAAATTAATTATTCACCTGATTACAAAATTAAATATTTTTATTTAATAATTTAATTTAATCATAATTAGATTAATTTATAATAATTTATTAAATTAAATAATTTAAAAAATAAATATTTATAATTTAATTTAATCATAATTAGATTAATTTAAAATAATTTATTAAATTAAATAATTTACAAAATAAATATTTAATTATATATAAATATATAAAAATATCTAAATATATAAATATATATAAATATACAAATATATAAATATACAAATATATAAATATATAAATGTATACATTATAAATATATAAAAATATAAATATATAAATATATTGTATTTATATATTTATTTGAATATACATTTATTTGTATATAAATATAATTTATTGTAATCTATAATCTAAAAATTCTGGTAGCTTAGTGGTTGGAGTATCGATCTCTTACTCTAAGGTATATAATAATATAAAGAAAAGGGGATTGAGGGGTGTCTCTAGACAAATATTTTTTATATTGAAAAATTTAAATACCTATATTTTTTTTATTTAGTAAAATTTCACATTATTCTTGGTTGAGTAATTCTTACACCTTTAATTCAAGTCATAAGGATAAAAATAATCAATGTTTAGGATGAAGAAGAAAAATATTTTTTATATTGCAAAATTTAAATACCTATATATTTTTTTTATTTGGTAAAACTTCACATTTTTTTTGTTGAGTAATTCTTACACCTTTAATTCAAGTCATAAGGATAAAAGTAATAAGTATTTAGGATGAACAAGGAAAACAGAAGAGAGAAACTTGTGTTTCAGTAAGGATAATATTTTATGTGAGAGTGAAACTTTTTTAATTCTCTTTTTAAAAATTTTAACTTTATTACAACAAAAATTTATTTTTCTATTAATTAGGCGGGACGTGGGCTGGCCCACCCGTCCCGTGGGTTGACGGGTTTGGTGGGGCGGACCAAAGTGGGCTGGTAGGTTAAAAATACCAACCCGTCTCACCATATTATAACGAGTCAGCTCGTCGAACCTGACCCGTTTTGTCTTGCCTGACAGTTTTTAATACAAAAATATTAAGAAAATGAGATTTTCACTAATTTCTATCCTAATCTTAAGCCACGTTAAGTTTATTACGTATTTAAATGATTAATTTAATATATTTTGATCCTTTTTATAATATTAATATGAAAAGGCTTAATTAGATTGTTATATACATAGAAAATATGAAAAGGCTTAATTAGGCTTAATTTGATCCTTTTAGTTTTATTTTCCGTTCTTAGTAGAGTTCATTCCTTTTTACCTTTTTTTTTAATTTAATGTTAATAATATGTTATGATAATATAATTACACATCACATTAATCAGATTGTCAAATCACTAGCGTAAAAAGGCCACATCAATATATAATATCATCCAATATTAAACTAAAGGAATATAATTAGAAGAACGAAAATAGAAAACAGTATATTTACAAAAAAAGTAAATTCTATAGAAATTAAAATTTAAAGTCATATTTATTTAGACTAAAAAAGTATTGATAAGAATAGCAAAAGATAACTTATTCAGAAACATTCATTAACTTGATTTAAGTTAAAGAAGGACCAAGCAAAGTTGTGTTTCATTTAAGTATTAAA